GTGTTATTACATCACGTGACCCTGACAGGGAACATGGAGGACTTAGTGACATGACACATTTAACATGCAGCAGTCACCATTTACTACACTGATAGTCTATGGCCGATGGGGATCAAACCCACGACCTCTTGGACATAGGCCCATGCCTTACCAACCAGGTTATCCATGCTTTTAAATAACTGTATATATAATAGTTAAAATCGATAAACTGTTTCCTAAACACAAAAAGTGTTCCCCCCCTCAAGCTATGTCAATGATTACTAGGTCTAGTGCAGTGTTTCCCAGAGTGTGGTACACGTACCCTAAGGGGTACGGGAACAGTTCAGCGGGGGTACGCATTCTTATGCAAAATATCTTGCAACAAACAAACATTTTAATTAAAAACAAAGCTAGCCATGAAAATGTACAATTACAAATTTTTCTATTGGCTATTTTGCAGAGTTAACAGTTAATAATTAGTGGTGTCAACAGCCAGTTGTGATTTTTGTGTAGTTTTTTATAGTAAAAAATACATTCATTTTTTAATTAGTGGTACACAGCGTTATGAAAATTTAGAAAGGGTACACAAAAGTCATAAGTTTGGGAGACACTGGTCTAGAGTAATACCACAACCAAAGACAAAACAGGATAAAATAATTCAAAAACCTTCTTTTAAATAGATTAGGTGAAGAATAGTTAACAAAGGATGGTAACACACAGAAGTCTAAAACAGGTATGAAAAACATCTTTCAATTGTTACATAATTTTAGAGCAAAGCTATAATATAAACAATGCAATAAAATAAGTAACTTTTTCACTTTTACCAACATTATTCGTCGAAATTTAACATTTTTATTAATTTCTTACTACTCAATAATCTCACGTTTTTTAAAAAATAAAAAAAAGATTTGTTGATTTGAAATTCATATTCCTTGATTTCAGTCATATCGTTAATGCCGATCAATAGATCTTCGGGGATATTCTCTGATACTAAAATTTCCCTTAATTCCCTGATGAGACAATAAAAATTTTCCAAGGACTAACTTTGTAAATATTATTGCAAACAATCAACTAACATCACACGTAAACTCGCCCGTACCTTATTAGGTCGTGATTATGAAATCATAAAAACTGGCCTACTTAAAATATAAATATCTAACTAAAACATATAACAATGGATTCAGACGACATTTATAATTTGATTATTTTAGTACAAACACAGATATTCAGGATTTATAGAAAGAAAAAAAAAATTGCGATGTAAACAATTTATCCGAATATATACAAGAGTATTTTAGATATATAATTTTTCACCATATGGCTTAAATAAGTATTAGATTCGTAAAAATGAAAGCAACTGACACAAATAAGATAGGAAAATTAAAATCATTAAAACTTTTTGTGTTAGAAAAAATATCAAAATTATTTGCCAGACTTACTGTAATGTTTGCATGAATGTCATACTTTTTCCCGTTGCGGGATATAAATCTGCATGTTAATTCATCTACTGAAGCTGCAGTTATTTGGAACAATTCATGTCCTTTTGGGAAAAGAGTCTCTAAAGTTTTAATGTCCTGTTTTAAATTATTCAGACACGCCATATCTACAAATTTTCACTAATAGAAAACAGAAAATTCATTGGGTTAACTATACAAAAAAAAAGTTAACAATGAAAGCAAGAAAAAGTGGACATTTCACAAATACTTATACTAAATAGCAGAAATATCGGAATGTGCACATATTTAACATATGCAAACAACAGTTTCAATCATTTATAAATCCAATTTATAAGCTGCACAATTAGAAAAACAACATTTCTATATCTACAATATGGCGGCGCACACAACAATTTCGACAGAGCATGCGCCAAATCGTCATTTAGTAAACAATAAAACTTTTCTTCTTGGTTCCAGCAATATGAATGTAATTTTTATAATTATTTTTTCTCAGAAAATGACCCAGAACAATGCTTCAAACTCGTAAAAAAATAAGTATAAAGTGTCAACGTACTTAATCAACACAATCTCACCTGAAAAATAAAATTAATCTGTATTTCATAAATAAATTATTGACAGTTTGATATTTTTTGCAACCGCGCTTTCTTGTCCTTTTGATTCTATTTATTTATTTTTTGACAGTCGACAGATCGGCTGACTTTTTACAGAACTCAATTTTTATAAATAATATATTTAATTAAGAATTTGATTTGAATTGATTTCCGTACATTATTGTTTGAAATGCATGATACTGATACAATTGAGGCTATTGAAAGTCGCATAAAAAGCTTAGAAGACCTTGTATATGGAAATTCAGCTCCAGATTCTGAGAATAAAGTATGTAATTTTTTTTTTTTTAGTATTTAAATTTAAATCACACAATGTTCAACAAATTAAGTTTTAAAGACAATTCTATATTTGCAATTTTTTTTAATGCTAATATTCATGTTCTAACTTCTGAAATGGACTGTAAATAAATTAAATTTTTTGAATCTTTACAATGCATGAATAATATTGTTGTATCCTTATGAATTCGTAAATATGAGAATGGAATAATGTGATATAATATAATGGGAAATAATGTGAGATTTGGAAAACACAACATTAAGCTTTAATATGAAAAGGAACAAATTGAGTGTAAACATGATAACAGATGATCTAAAGTAGGGGAACTGTAAGTTATCACAATTTTCCCCCACTAAAAATTGGTGGTGACATAAAAGTTTAATATAAATAATAATCTCTAGGTATTCAGGTAATCGTCTATTGAGCTCAAAGTTCCATCTTGAGACACTTGAACATGCACCTCCCTCAGTGGAGTGGGAGGGGATATCTGCCATCGCCAAGGTGCCAAATAGATTTTAAACTTGCAAATTTAAAACAAAAAATGTGTAGATGTTTTCTCAGGAGTGGCGACGATTATTCTGCCGCAGATTATGATACGGAAATATACCCAGTGGGAGCGTTGAAATAACCTTCCTTTGCTACGAAATTCAAATCTGAAAAATTGGTTGGAATATTTAATGAGGGTACTTGTGTAGAATATAGCTGGTTAATGTGGCACTTAAGAATAAGTCCCCAGAATCCAATTTGACAATCTAACGGTGCGATTCCAGTCTGCGAGTTACAATTCCGTATTTCCACACTTCGGAGCGTTGAAAATAACCTTTCTTTGCTTTGGAATTCAAATCTGAAGAATTGGTTGGAATATTTAATGAGGGTAGTCGTGTAGAGTTTTGCGGGTTAATGTGACACGTAAGAATATGTCCTCTGAATCCAATTTGACAATGTAATGGTGCGATTCCAGTCTGCAAGTTATAATTCCGTCTTTCCACACTTCGGAATTGTTTTGATACATATACACTTGAACACCCCCCTCCACTTGGAATGAACGCACAGACTTAGTAAAAACTTTTAACTTATGAAAATGATTTGGATAAATAGCATTTAATTGTGTCCGAAATTTTCTGTTTAGATATAGTTCAGCTGGAGATTTTCCACAAACAAGTGGTGTAGCACAATAGCGAAAAAGAATTCTGTGAACTTTCTCTTTTAAACTTCCTGATTCCCTGGATATTGATTCTAGTTGATGTTTGAAAATTTAAACATTTCATTCTGCTAAGGCTTTTGTGGCGGGTGCGATGAAGCATTGGAAAATACTGTACATGGAGTTATATACATGGTACCTGCGCACCTGGAAAGTCATGAATTTCAGTATTGAACAAAATTTGTCATGATTTTTACTATTTTTAAAAAAAAAATCATGAAAAGTCATAGATTTAGGTCGCTGAAAAATCTAATTTTTAAAATGGAATCCCCCCCCCCTCTCTGTCCTAAATTCCTAACAAAATCACTACTAACAGTCATATTTTATTAGAATATAAAATGTCTTTATCATGTTCTTTAAAATTTATGGTGTTCTTTTAAAAAATTAAAGAAAAAACATTTCTAGAGTGAATTATCTTTTAAACTTCTGTGATTTAAGGATTTTTATTATTTATTAATTTTTTTATCAATTTAAATTTCAAGCAGAAGCAAGCCAATCATTGACGAATTTTTTTTAATTTCGAAATGAGAATAGACAAATAAGGAGTATTTCTTTCCTTTTCTGATGAACAAGAAAAGTATCTCATGAATATAATTCTGCAGAAAAAAAAATTTGCTTTTGTATTTTTCCCCCCAGGAAAATTATGAATTTGAAAATCTAAAATGTAGCAGATACCCTGCAGTGTTTTCACTACAGCGCGAGAATCTCGCATATTTTTTCTTTTCTCGCATTAAAAAATGATTACCGCGAGAAATTTGCGCATTCTATAAATCAATTTTAAAATTCACGAATTTCTCGCATTTTGGTAAAAACTTCGAATTACGCCATTTAGAATAAAATCCGTTTATCTTTTCTTCCTGGATCTTTCATTATTTTCAACATCTGCCCCATTATCTAGCTTCCCTATTTACCAGTATTGTTCAGAACCTCTTCGAACAACAGAACACAACCATGGAACCCCTTTCAGAATACATTTCTCTGCAACCATGCGTTTACCGTAGGTAAAGTTTCTTCATGTAAGACGTTCAAAATTTTTATGCACTTATGTAAGATGGACAAATACCTTGTAAAGGCAAAATCTTCTATGATGATGCACGAAAAATATTCAATGCTTTAAAAAATAGAAGACGTTAACAATGTATTATAATTAAAGAAATGAATTTTTTTTTCAAGAGTTTTTGTTTTTTTAGAAATCTCACTTAACTTTTTGAAATATCACCCTGTTTTTGAGAAAGGGTGAGAAATTCTCACCCATTTTTTTTCTATGATGAAAACACTGCCCTGTATATTGTTTGAATTCACCAGTTGTAAAGATAGTTTGATTGTTAGAAACTATTATTCTAGGTAAATCCATGAAAGAAAAGAGGTCATTTAAAAGTTGATACCAGAAGTATAGATTTAGCATCAATGCACAGTAAAAAATGATATTCTTCAAAGAGAATAACTTAATCTATATAAATTCTTTCCCAGTTATATTCTGGATCATCCAAGGGTGTATAGCAACTTTAGGTGAATTTTTTCGAAGTTTAACACAGTCCTTGCAAATTTTTACAATATTTTCAATATTAAAATTAATCAACATATTTGTTAAGTTGAATTAATGAATGTCGAGTTTAATGGATTAAGATGCAGTTTTAGGAACAATAATAAAAAAGTCAAGGTAACAAAATCACTTGGTGTAATAAACTAAATATAACAAATAAAAAAGAAATATCAATGGGAGGTGTTCCAAGATTATAGGACACATGCTCATCTGCAAAAAGGAACTTCTTTGAAGGGTTTGTGTTTATTAAAATTAGTTAATTTCCCTAAGAAAATTCTTTAATATAAGTAGACAGATTATTTGAACAAAAAAATCCATTATTATTTTGATTCTTTATTTTTAGTGTGTGGAAACTTTAATGAATGTTCAGAACAAGTTACAGTCTGCTGTCACTGGAAGAGAAAAGATAACTACGGTATTTTCTAAATGTGAGAGTTACTATTCAGTGTTTTTTAAATGTTTACTTTCTCCAACTATTAGAGTAAATCAACCAGATGTCCTAAAATTGTCAGATTTTTTGAAAAGCAGTTTAAAGAAAAATAAAAGAAGATAGAAATTTACAGTTTGCTATGTTCTGTTTAGTCCTTTCTCTCTATTTTTGTTGAGTCCTTTACTCTATTTTTGTTAAGTTCTTTCTTTACCACTAATACCTACAAAATTTCAAAGCCAGTCACAAAGTTTGTCTTCAAATAAAGGCACCTCTTCTGGCTGGAAAAATTATAATCTCTTTTTCTTGTTACACTATTCTAATTGAATACTTTGAACAGCATCTATTAATTTTAATTTCAGACTGTCTTGTTGATGCAGATGGTGATTATTTTGGAAATTTTCCATAACAGTGCTATCTATTGACAAACTTTGTAACTTATTTTGATACTTAGTGAGAATAAATGCCGATTTTCCAAGCTCAACTTATTAAAATGTGCATTTCTTTCTCTTTCCATTTTTTCTTTCATTGATTTTTCACATTGTCATCATTTTTGGGACACAGTATTGACCTAGCTGATAAGCCCTGTGGCAGAATTTTTTCTGACTTTCTGCGACAAACCTAACTAGAACCAATATCTTTCTGCAAGATATTTTTATCGTTATAAATGTATGTGTAATGAATTTATAATAATATATTAAATTCGTGTTTATAAAATAAGTCTACATGCATAGAATAAAACTGTGTAGATTTTTTTTTCTTAATTTCATAATATAAGTTTACATTTCTTAATAAGTTTAAAATGTTTAAGTATAAATTTGCATAATCTTCGATAATAACGAAAAGTTATAAATGTATAGATCTGCAGACAAAAATGCTTACCAGAGCATAAATAAAGATTAGCCAGAACCTGTAATAAGACAGAACTTATAGAAATAGCTAAGAATGGACAAAAAGATTAAATTTATAAAACAAGATAACTGGATTTGAAGTATCAGTTTAAAACAGTATCAAAATTAAATTATTAAAGCAGTTTATAACAGTATGGTTTAATGTTTCATTATAGTAGTTATATCAGGTACAGAAACAAATCAGGTGAAAAAATTAATATTGAAGTTGAGTAATCAAAATAATAAAATAGAATTGACTATAACCGAATTCTAAAAGCAAAAAAATTAAAGCACTGTTTGTTTCAATTTTTTCTACATCTAATTAATTATAGATTAATTAGATTCGATTACTATTGTACTGACTTATTGAAAGATTTTTTTTTTAAAAAGGAGGTAAATAAAACTTTTTTCGTGATCAGATTAAGTTCAGAACGAAAAAAATACACAGCGCTTGTATTTTCGCATTGTATTGTGTAAATATATAGCATTGATTCCACACAAAGTATGCAGAAGCGGTTTCCGACTCAGTATGCTCAAGTCTATTCAACATCCTGAAAGGAAATAGTCTTTATCAGTACTGAAACATCGGTATTAGAGCCATACTCATTGGATGCAATTTTTTTCGCATGCGTATGGAAATTTTGTTTGGAAGTGTTTCACCAGTAAATATTTTCCACCAATCTGGTTTTCATTCGCATGCCAAAAAATCGTAGATAGTGAGATCAGGCTTTATTTCATTTATCGTTAGATTGCGATTTTTCTTCTTCTTTTTCTTTCTTTTTTATCGACGACTTAATTCAAAGGATATAGGCATTTTATCTTTAGAATATATATATATAGTTATTTTTTACTTTTTACTGCTTCTAAAATTTCTTGATTTGTTGGAAATGCTGTCTCATCCTTACTATCGATATCGCTACTAGTAAGAATATTTGATTCGAATCTAGAACATTTTTTTTTTTTTTTTCTTTTTCAATATTAGTAGCGTGGGAAGCTTCTTTTCCTGTCGCTTTCTAGAAAAAAAATCTCTGACATCGCTAGATGTTGTAGACTTCCATCTTATTTCTTCTTCGGAATGCCGCCTTGAAAAATCAGTTTTCAAATTTGTTTTAATTATTGTGGCTTCACAATTGCAACAAATAACCTTTTTGCTGGACATGATTTTTTTAAAAAAAGAATCTTTTTACGCATGAAATTTTCCACATAAGTGCAAAAAATATAAAATGCTCTGTTCTCATAAGAAAACACAAAGCAAATTACTGCGCCAGTGATGGAGGCCGAAGTTGGCAAATTTCCAAAAATAGCTTAATAAAGGGGAAAAAATTCTCCCCTTTTTATCCAGTAACTGTTTGTGTTGGATATTAACAGAGAATTACGAGCGCTTTCTTCTTCCGCGGTACGCTAGAAAAAAAATATTTAAAAAAATTCTGTAAGAAAAAAATTTTGAAGAACCATTATTGCTTCTACAGAAATTTTTTGTTTCTGTAGAAAATGTTTTATTTTTTGGTAAAACAGCTTCTGTTTCTGCAGAATCTTTTTTGAGAACTTTTGTTTGTGGCAAACCAAAAATTTTTATTTCCCAAATAAAAAAAATCTTTCTGCAAGAACTCAGTCGATTTCTGCGACAATGTCGCTGTGTCGCCGTGTTTCTGCCACGGGGCTGATAAGCTTTTACAATAAGATAGCTTTCATTAATATTGCAGCCCCTAAAATGTTGCTTACATTTAATAAGTTTTTTTTTGTATTAATTAAAATCAATATTTTAGTGGATGACCTGGAAAAATATTTAAATCCAGATTTTAAGGAGAATGTGACTTTAACTGACCCAGTAAAAACGAATTTGGTTCTTCTAGGTAAGTTTGCATCTGCTTTGCTCTAATCATATTTAGTGAATATTACTAATCATATTTTAAAGTGAAATTTTTTTAAAACTTATTTCTTAGTAAAAATATTTAATGTAAAAAAAATTAAAAGTTGAAATAAAGTATACCAAGTTTTATTTATTTATATTCTTTAAAAGTTTTGAAAATAAATATTTGAAATACACCGAAAATACACACTTTATATGTGATACAAAATGCTGCTGTGAGAAAAAATAAAAACATTTGCCATCTCTGTGACATTTTTACAACAAATTTATTACTTATTCTCCATATTCTTTTCCAGAGGAAGATAGAATAAGGAATGCAGTGGATTCTTTACAAACAGTGAAAGAATTAATGCAATATTTAGATAGTGAGCACATCAAAGGTATAACATGTTTTTATATTACTTAAGTCATTTTAAATGTATACTAATATACTGTATGCCTATTATTATACATTAAATTATTTTGCACATTTATATTACATTATACTTCATAATACAAATGTATGGTAGTAAACTGTTAATAATAAACATTATTTTTTAAATAAAAGATGTATTGTAAGATAAAAAGTCTTTCTAGGAATTTAGAAATGTGCTTTAATAATATACCTTATAGTAATGAACTCAAAAGTTAGTAAATATCAAAGTACCCGGATTTTTGCACAGGCTGTAACAGTTCAGTGTGTGCGTTCAGAAAACTTCAAAACCGTTTTTGTTGAATCTACATTTTTCATATTGAATGAACTCATAGTTTTATATAATCCGCACCTATTAACAACAAATTTAGGATGTATTTTTTTTATTTAATTTTTACAGAAAAAAGAGAGCATTTTGCTTGCTTAGTTTATTTATTAAAATTGGTTTTCTTACAAAAAGTGCTTAAAAAATTCCTACATACTTCCTAAACTATTCATTTAGATAAACTATTCACTTCGCAAACTATTCAGATTAGTTTTTCATCCTCAATTTTAAAAATATGCTTATCTATTAAAAAGAAAAGCTTTACCAAACATAAGCTGTATTACACAACATTTCTTTCTTTTTATTCTTCTTTTATCTTTTAAGGAAATGAACTTTTTCAGTTAACTACTTTATTAAAAAAATTTCCCCAACTAAAGTAGCACCTTTTGAAACCTTTTGATGAAGACATATTTCCATGTTCCATATTGAAAATAAAATTCTGTTTCATTTTTCATATTACCTTTAAAGAATCTTGTAGATTTGTTATAATGTGAGATTTTATTACTTAAATTATTGTTATTTAGCCAATTAAATATATGAAATTTTTTATGCATGAAATGCTAATAATGAATTACGGTATCAGTACGAATAGTGTATAATAATTTTAAAAAAAAATTTCCAGTTTAAATATTTTATTCATTCTGGTATAAATTGACAAATAGAAATTGGCGTTATTAACACATGTTTCTATTCATGTAACAATTTTACATTAGTTTGCTTTCAGAAACATATTTAGTATTAAAAAATTAACTAATCTAATGACATAATATTGAAATATTCATTGTGTCCCTGAATTGTTAAAACTGAAAGTTAATGCTAATGCTGTTTTTTAAATTTAAAAAAAAAAAAAATTTTGCAAAAATCTTTTTTGTCATAAAAGTTGAAACTTTCTATTGTAATAATATCTAACTTTTTTTACTTGCAGTTGTACCATCTCTTTGTCCTAAACTATATGAAGTGAGTCAGATTCAAATTAAATTGCAAGTAAGTTTGATTGTTCCTACATTTTACTTTACTTTTAATAGGAAAAATTCTCATGTTGCCAAGTTTAATTTGGTAATTTTTCATGCATTTTTTTTCTTTTGCTTGGTGTTTAACAAATGAGAATTTCATTATTAAATAAAGAGTTAATTTTTTATTTATCTAGAAGTAATTTATATTATTATTTTTTTTGCTTGATTATAAAAACCTAAGTTATTATTGATACAAGTTGGAATTATTATTTCCTTTATATTTGTTGTATATTTTTCTTTATATCTAATACATTTTTTATATAAATGTACTGTTTGTTCATATATAATTTCATTTAAGTATGTTAGCAATGAAATTACTGTCATAGAGATCATATGTTATGATTCTTGTACCTTAGACATACAAATTTAAATACACAATGCAGTGTACCATGGTAGTCTGTCAAGTTAAAAGGATTAAAAATCTAAATACTTTCCTGTTTTTTTTTTTTTTTTAAACAATTTAAAGAATGCCTTAAAACCAATATTCAAAAAAGGTGCTATTCATTTATAAAGTGTAAAGGTCACTGGTCATACTTTATTCCTGCATGAATCAGCAAAAGTAGAAAAAAATTTATTTAACATAAACCTAATTTTGCTTTTTAGCGATAGGAACACTTAAACTCATATTGTTAGTAGAAACATGCTTAAGTTTAATAAAAAGCATGCATACTTTTTTTGTTATTTTCAATTTTGTCAGTTTTGCACAGATCAAGGTTGAAGATTCTAATAAAGATGAATGCAAAATTTCTAACTAATGAGTTTAGAGAGTCATAGAAAACAATAATTGTGCTTGAAGTTAAATAAACAATATTGTTTATAGCAACAATTTTACCATGGCTCCAGTTGGACTCAATATGGGTCCTATAAGAACATGCACCGAGGGACAAATATTGGTCCTACAATGGTCTATATAGGGACTATATTGGCCTATATATTGGGTAAATAATGAATATAAAATATCAGGTGAATATGGCAATTTTATATAGGGCTGATAATGTTTGTAAAGTGACTGTAAAATATTGGGTGAATCGGACAATTCTATATGGGGACAATATCGGAATAATAATGGCCCTTTGAATCTATATTGAGCCAAGATTCACAAATACCGGTCCAATGAGGGCCCAAGATGCTTCGTTGCTAGGGATGTATCAATACAGAACTCTTTAAAGTCATCTAACTTTAGCTGTTTTCATCAGATCAGTGTGTGTTTTTTTGTAAATGTAATTTAAAATGTATTAATATAAAGAAATAGATCTTATTTATATTAAATGTTCTTTGACTTTTTTATCTAGGAAAATGCTGCTGAGCTGACCAAGGAAACTAAACAACTCATTGCAAACTATGATGATCTTGTATCCTTGACTTATTAATGCATTGCTGAAAAAGAAATATATATATGGGTCATTCTCACAAAAACAGTCATTTTCATGTCCCCGGTATATTTTATGTTTGTTTTACAGCTTACGAAGAAAAAAATTTCAGTGAAAGCGTCCTTCAGAATGCAGGCTAACAAAAGAATAAAAATAAAATTATCAATTTTTATTTATTTTAGGTAATTAAAATTTACCAATATGTCATTCCCTCACTTGTCTCCACTGTTGATTTAAAAAAAGAAAAAATTGTTTCTGAAATAAAAAAATTTACAAATTCATGTTTTTTATTTCAGACTATTGAAATATAGAATTCAGAAAATCAATTTTAAATTTAATTTCTGATGAAAATATTAACACAGCACTATTTTAAACTTTGTCCCTAGTGTTTCGCGTCATTCCCTCACAACAATGTTCTTATCACCTGCAATCTTCTTAGAATAAAAATATTTTAATAAAAACTTTAGCAGTTAACAACTGGCATCATAGAACAAAATTGCAGTATGTTTCTATCTTCAACTTAAAGAAGCTTTGCTGTGGAATAAATTTGAATGAATCAAACCAGGTAAAATTTTTTACATTTGTCGTTCTCTCATGTCGTTTTTTAGAGTAAAATAAAATACAACTTCATCGAGAAAGTGGATAATTATATGTTGCTTTCTTGTATGAATATAATGGTATGTTATTGATTTCAGAAATTAATTAGCCCTAACTGTTATTTTTAAATTTTATTAAATTTGTCATTCCCTCACTAGTGTATAAAGTGAGGGAATGATTCAAGATGAGTATATTAAAAAAAAAAATTTGTTCAATCGTGCCAGCCAATTTTATTTCCGAAACCTTTAAAAACTATTAAGTATCTAAAACTAAATTATAATAAATGTTAGATACACTTAGTACATTATCATTTTCAAACTTGAGGCAGCTGTAACTTAGAGAAAAACATGTATTAAAATAAAATATCATTCCCTCACTTTTTAAATAGGGAAATTAATTAATTAATTTAAATGTTAAGTATAATTTATAGGATATATACTTTCTTTATAATGCCATCACATATTTTTATTAATATAAAAAGTTTCAGAGCTTTTTATTCACTTTACTTTTTTGGGATTTTATGAACTGAAAAATGAGTTTTCGTGAGAATGACCCATATATAGGATGAAAAAAAAAAGTTTGGAAATTTCCAAATAACTAGCAAAATAACCGTAGGACTAAAAAGTGAAACTAGACATGTTTAATATTTTTTAAAAGCTATCCAATGCTGAACTGATCTTTCATCCCATCCCCCAGGGACAGAATAAAGGGCAATTTTGATATCTTAACACTTATTTTTTATTGCAGATTCAGATTTTCCTGAAAAAAGTGACCCTATTTTACATGTAGGTTTATGCATTTTGTTTCAAAGATGGTGCTGTAACCAAGTACAAACTGTTTAAAATTGTAGTAACTTGAGACCCATCAGATAGAAAATAAAACTAAAAATGTTTCAGAATTTTTTTCAAAAAAAGAAAAAATTTATAAAAATTCTTTTCTAACATATCTATTTTATTATGTAAGTTTATGCATTTTACTTCAGAGGGTCCAGACTGTTAGAATATGTAATAAATGGTGTTTGGTGCACGTTAAATCTGTTGAGTCACAGAGTCTTCCATGTTCCAGTAACATATCATACCTTTAGGGGTACTGAATTAGAGACTGATCATTTTCTGATTCAGGTCAAAATTACGATCTGTGGATGTATGAATGGGTCAATGTACCAATGGGAAAGTGGCATTCTTGACCACCCTCTGGCTTAAATTTGCTTGGTTTGACCAAACAGGCTTGTTGGTATTGGCATGTAGCACTGGAAACAACACACTCTATCCGTAGATCGTAATTCCCTAAACTGTGTCTGTATTCTAGTTGATATTCATATTTTCACTTCAAATTGCTTATAGATTTATATTAGCTGTAGGAACTTACACTAATCTTTAGCTTTATGTGTATCAATTAAATTTGTTTTTACCTTAACTGATATAAACCAATATTTAATTGCTTTGTTCTTAACTCAATTAGGTTTTATCTCTGTCAAAACAGTTTATTTTGTGGGATTCTATTCTGTCTAAGATAGAAAAAGAAAAGCTGCCTAAAAAGAAGATTCTAACATAATTTAATACTTACCGTAAGTTGGCATTTTGAGTTAATTTTTCTACTCAATGATACACCAAAAGTATGAAGTTTTGAATATTATATGTTTAATATAAAGTTTAGACTAAAAGTAATTGCAAAAAGTTAAAACTGTGCTGAAATTTGCCATATTTTTGGTAATTAATTTAATTACTTGACAAAAGAATACGGCAGAATGTTTGAATATATAGTGAAAATTTTGGTACTTTTCCAATAGCTGGGTGCATCTGATATTTTTACCATTATTTTCTTTATTTAAAAAAAATGACTGTCACCATAAAATAAATAGTCGAATTTCTTTGCACTTAGCTGAAGGAACAGGACATAAATTTTCCATCTGTAGTATTTACAAATAGATGAATGAAAAAAATTGCTGTATGTATAAAAAGTATTGTTTTATCAGGTTTCAAATTTGCACTTAATTCACTTAATAGTGTGGTTACTTTCAACTTTATTTCTCATTTTTATTAAAAAATTATCACTTTTTTTTAACCCCTTGTTCTTTAAATTAAAAAAAATTACTTTATTATTTAATAAAAAAAAATTTACAACATTCAAGAGAATAGATTGGATTAATGTAACTGCCTATTAAATGAGCTTTGAGAGCAAATGAACAGAAAAATAATCATTTTAGGTTCTTATCCAAGAAAACTTAAGAGCGTCATTGCATTGATTAGTTTTTAAATGGCCTGAAGTAGTAAAATAATAATTTACCAAGAATAGTGTTTTAAGAAAAAGTGCTTTGTTTCTGCAAAATAAATTCTAACACTGAAACAACTGTGTGTAAAATAAAAAAAACTGTCCTTTCAAAAGAGCCCTAGGCACGATTGTGTTAAATTAATGATAGGAGACATTGATGCATTAGGGTGAAAACATCCACTAAAAAATCAACTTAAATAAAAATGTGCGTTCTCAAAAAACTCCAACATGTATTCAACTGCCCAAATTTCACTGAATCTCACCAATAGTTACAAACCTATAAAAAAAAAAAAATTCTATGTGACTCAAATATTATCATCATCTTCTATATCAACATTGGTATTTATGCTATTTCTGAAAAACCAGATTAGGCACCCTTAAGGAAGTTAGATGGCACTTACTTGTCAGCAAAGTCGTACTCCAGTCAAAGGTACAATAAAAAACTTATAAGTTGAAGATTTTTCGAAAATAAATTGTGTGCTTATTTATAAGTGTAATCTTTTACATATTTTGCCTCATGAAAGCACAGATATTGTTGACATATATTAATGATTTACATTGAATTGAAATGTTTCTCAAAGGGATAATTCTAAAATTTATTGAAACTGGGATACATTTTGAATTTTCAGTACCATATTTTCTCTGGTAAAATTTAATAGTATTTATCATTAGTCTTTAATGTAACTAACAATGCTGAAATCTTAATTTTAACTCTTTTGACTTGGGCTCACAATCACTCCTAATGTATGTATGGCTACTATAAGAAAACTGCTAAAAAGGTTGTAAATTAAATATGGTCTTCAGATGTAAGGGATATTGTCTTAATAAGATTTGAATTCAGGTAGTTAAAATGTAAAAATATTCAATGATTATGAAATTTAAAATATGAAAGTAATTTTGTTTCATTAATAAAATATATTTTCTTCCTTTTCATTAGGTATGCACAGCACATTCAAGGGTGAAAATAATATTTTTATTTGTATTGTAGTTAATTATATGTTGATTTATTTATGATTCATGTTTTATATTATAAATAAAATTTTACTCTAAGCACCATTTTTCTTTCGTAGTTGATGATGCATTTTCAATTGTTCATATTTTATTCTAGAATGATATAGGCAAGCAATTATATATTAACTATTATAAACTGCTTTAATGAAGAATCAAATATAAAAAATAATAAAAATATTTTAATCTTCATTTTTTATATATATGTATATTTTACTACACAAACTTTGAAAATGTCCTAGAGCAAGGGTGGCGAACCTTCATAAACCAACGTGCCATTTCCTCTAAAAAAATTGCTTAATGAGGTCATAGACATGCCGTCAAATAATTTTGACTTTGTGATTATTGGGAAAATAATAATACTAAATACTATCAACTCAGAACTCTTTATTTACATTGAAAAAAAAACATTTTGTAATGTCTCAGTTATACACGTAATTCAACTTAAAGTAACATCAGTGTGACTTCTGTTGTTGCAGATTCGATGACCAATAACTTATATTGGGTTGTAAGATGTTAGTTTAAGCAGGACTGTTGATTTTTTTGCTAGTTATTTATTGTTAGCTTGTTTTTTACGGTTATTAATTGTTTTTTTAGTATTAATTTTTAGTTTTTTTTTATTAATAATTGTTTATTGTTTTGTTTGTTTTTTGTGAATTTTGATTTAATTGTTACATATGCTTCATAGCGTAATAACAATTCATAGTGTAACAACAATTGTGATCGGTGGAGTGCCCAAAATATTGTGCCATTGGTTCGCCATCCCTGCCCTAGAGCAGTGGTGCGCAAAGTAGGGGTCGCGACCCCTGTGGGGGTCGCCAGAAGTTTTTTGGGGGTCGCCAAATTTTTATGAAATGCATTATCCCTGCATGCTGCATAACCATACAGTGTAATTATAAAGAGTGGAGCGCCGTCACTCCCTGTTTAATTGCAA